TTTTTTTTTTTTTTTTTTTTTTTTTTTGTTCATTTATATTTGCATTCCTTTTTTTTTTTTTATATTTTTTTTTAATTTTGGATTAATTTTGAAAGTTTTGATTTTATTTAATTTTTCTCTCAAATAAGGGACTCAAGAAATTTCCACTTTTTGCACAATAAGTATACGAATAAATAATACATATACACGTAATTGTACGAACAAAATTTCCCTTAAAACTTTTTTTTTAGCTTAACAAAGGTATGTAAACTCCTCAAATAACCATTTTTTTTCTTTTCCATACATAGGTGAAAAAAAAAAAAAAAATGCAAGGGTTATACGCCCGGCACCAAAAAACAAAGAAAAGAAAAGGAAAAAAATAGAATAAAAAAACTGTACCTACATAAATGCATATTGTTCGTAAATAAAGGTAACAAATTCAAATGTTACAAGTTCGATTTAATCATTACAAAATGGTTGATATGAGTTTTTGCAACAATAGTGAAATGAGCATTTTGTAATAATTTCAGTAACTTGCGCACAGCTCGGTCAAAATTACAAACAGATGACATTGTACACTTTATATAATATAAAACCTTTGACTTAATACAGACCTTCACGCCTCTCTGGCCGAACGAAGTAACGCACGAGGTGCGTTAAAAAAATGGATGAATTTGGTTGGCCATTCAAAGAAAGCGCACAAAAAATTCCTACATAATATATATAGTACTATACTTTGTGTACCTTATGACAAGAGCATACACATGCCGTGCCACGCGAACCAAATGGCCAATGGGAATAAACATAAGTGACGACAATGATGCCACGGAAATGGCCCTTCGTACTGATGTAAGTACACGTTTGTATGCCCACACGAACTGACTCATAATAACAAGCTTTTTAGCCGTCGCAGTAAAGCGTGCATATACAAAAAGGGATGCCATGCATCAAGTGCAAACGCAGCAACATGTGCTTCTCATTTCTGGCCCGTTGGCCTAAGCCCAACCCCCCGAGATTGCCTTAACCATATTCGCGAAAAATTAAAATTGCTTCTGTTGCACAGAAGAGTAATATTCTGTATGTAACATTATTATCCTTACACTGATGTAGCCGTCGTGCAAAATTCCCCCCTGTTCATTTGATAGGTATGTATAATAATTTTTGGCAAAAAAAGGAGGAACATTTTACCTCATTTTAAAAAATAAATAAATACGAAAAAATGCTCTTGTTTTTTTTACATGTTCCACCGGTATACAACTTTGTGTGGATTAAATAAGTGTTGCCAAAATTTGAAAAAAAAAAAAAAAAAAAAAACAATTTTGCTATATTAATGGTTCCCAAAAATTGTACCAAAAAAATATATAAATTAATTTTGTCAAAATATGCCCTTTTGTGGACTTACATTATGTGTATCATGGAAAAAAAAAAAAAACACGTAAATCACTCGCATACGTGTAAATCATTTCACTAATAACATAGTTTGTTAAGCAAAATGAAAAATGTACACCAAGGGGGATATGATCGGATATGGAAAGCACGTAATCAAATGTGTACCCACACCACAATGTTGTTACTATAAGGGTCTTGCGTCCTACAAGGGTGGATGCCAATTTGCCCGTTTTTACAATACATTGTGCTTCTACAGCGTTTTTTTTCCTTTCAAAATATATGATGTTTTACCGCCCTTCTGATCCTTCCTCACCGATGGTGAACAAAATTTAAAACAGGCCACTCGGTCTGCATTTTGCAAAAAAAAAAAAAAAAAATGCATACGCTTTTTACACCCCCGATAAACGCCACACGTGTACATTCGCCCCCTCCCTCCCCAATAGGTGGGCCACACATCAAAGCTTCTTCCCCCCAGGCCGACTGTCATCATTTAAATAGTTGTTGTAGTACTGCAAGTAGTACTTCTTATACTCCGTGTTCAAATTCCCGACATCCGTCTTAATATAATTCAGAGTGATCTTTTTATTCGTCGCAATGTCAATGATTTGGAAAAAATATTTGCGAGAAATGGGGTCATTCTTTAAGTCAAAACTGTGAAACACTTTGTTTAGGAGCAAACCAATTTGATTAATTGATAATCCGAAGTCAATCATACTGTTGTAGAAATTAAAATATTTAAAAAAAAAAAAATACTTTTTAATCAGCAATTCTTTGTTCTCGTATTTTAGTTTTTCCAATAAAACACTTTCTTGGATTATTTCCGAAATGATAATTAACAAACTGACTTCCCAAAACTTTATATTGTTCCACAGATTGTGGGCGTACACAAATTTGTGCAACAGGATTTTCTTCTTCCGTGGGTCTTTCCCACTACTCTCTACAAAATCGCGTTCGTCACTCTTCCTTTCTTCTCCATTAACTTGCTGTTCACAATTTGTATCCCTTTGATGATCCTTCTGTTCCGCATCCTCTGGGATTTCATCATTTGGGGGCTCTTCCCTAGACGCACTGGACGCGTTTGTTCTTGTTATTACTTGTTCCTGTCCGCTACCCTCTACATCAGATAGCGCAGGAGCGTCCCCATTGGAATGGTCATCCACATTGCCTACCTTCTCCACATGACCCTCCTTCTGCACTTTTTCCCTACTCTCGTATATATTCACGACACTCCTTCTTACACTGCTACTCGTCATACTCCTCTTCGAAACCACCCGCGCGTTAGGTGCCTTAGATGAACCCCCCTTTTCATTTTCATCGTCATCCATAATGAAAAAATCGTCCATCCCAACGTTGTTTTTTCCCTTTTCCTTCACATGACCAGCGTTCATTTGGATTGCCCCCAATGGAGACTCCACCCTACCGTCTGCCTTTCCCCTTTTAAACTTCTCAAAAAAATGGCACTCCTCTAACAACCGCTTAACATCCAACTGGTAATTTTCCACCACTTCAAAATAAAAATTTTCCGAAGCGACCAAAATGTAGATGGAAGACCAGTAATCAAAGTACAAATCGCAGTAGTCCAAAAAGGACAAAATAATTCTTGCAAATATAATCATGGCGTTCATATTTTTAAAAAAAGTTTTCCCCTTCTTAACATAATACATCAGACACTCACAAAAAATTAATCGATTATTGTACACGTTGAAATATGACGATATGTTGAATTCTTCTATTTTCATAAAATTTCCATGAAATAAATTCTTCAAATAAAATTGAAAAAAAATCTCTATTTTTTTAAATCGGTTTGTACAATCCACTTCGCTTCCTCCGCTGTCTGACTCCTGCTCCTTCTGCGTATATTCCCTTTCTAACATGTCTCTTACGTATATGTAACTCAGATCAGACGCGCACTGCGCACTGTTACGTTTCACACTATGTCCATCGCCCCCACCCTCGGGGTTGCTACTCCGATTGTCTACCTCTTCTGTGCGATTTATGCCATCTCCGTGGCGATTTTCCACCTGCACAAACTCCCTTTTAATAGAATCCTCTTCGGCAGCGCCATCTGCTAGATTAACAACTTCCCCATCTGGATGCTGGTCCACATTATGTTCATCCTCTATCAAGTCCTTCCCCGTTTGGGATGCCTCCCTTGGTGCAAGCGCATTCACCATGGAATTGGCCTCACCCTCATTAGGTTCCCTTTTGCCTGATTGTACAGGCATTTCCCCTTTTTCGTTTTGTTCCCCCGCACGAAGTGCTTCCTTACTGTGATTGAGTTCTTCACTCGGGTTGGGTACTTCATCATGGTTATCCGAGTCACCATTTCCACCCTGATCACTACGCCCCGTCTCATCCTCCCCCGCTTCGTTCTCCCCGGCTTCGTCCTCCCCCTCGCTGCTCACATCCTTCTTGTTAAAAAAAACAATTTCGTTAAAAATATTCGTATACACACTGTTGACCCCCTTTCTCTCCGTACCCCTCCTCCGATCGCTGTGCTCATTTTGAATCAAATTCTTATACGCATTAACGTTAAAGAACGACGATAATAAGTTGCCATACTTACTTTTCGCGCTACTCACATAGTTGTCGTTATCGGGGTGGTCACCTCGACTACCGTACAAAGATCCCACACCAACACGGTTAAATTCATTTCGGTGATCTATTAGCATTGGCCACGAGACAATATTATTATAAAGGAATAAATCCTCCTTTTGTCTCTTCCCAGCAGCGCCATCCCGCGAACAGTACATTTCGCAGTACTCCTCGATTTCCCGACCTGCGTCTACATCTTTAAACACATCAATGCAGCTATTCAGATCATACTGCACATTTCTAATATAGGAGGTAAAAAAAATTAAATATTTCATCACGTTGTCCTTGATACATGAAATTCTTTTGCAGTCCATCGATTCAAGGGAGTAGAGAATGCTTTTCATTTTTTTCTCTTTTTTCAATTCCACTTGGTTTACATTATTTATGATGTTCTTATATTCATACTCCCTCTTTTTGGCTAGTAAATATTTATGTATACAAACATTAGAGAGTTCAATCCGCTTCATCGGGTGGTAGTAAGTGCTATTGTGAAAGACGTGAATAGAATCCACTAAATTCTCGTATGCACTTACACAATTTTGCACATATCTTATCGTGTCCCTTTTAGTCTTCTCTACCATTTTATCACTTTCCATTCCATCTAATCTAATCTGGTCATACACATTTTTGTGATTAATCAGGGTAGTGTTAAGGGTACTATATATTATTTCACTTTCTACATAGTTAATAAAATCTGCTATCTGTTCACATCTCCTTTCGATATTATTTTTTAGACTCATTATTCCATTTTTAATTCCAGATGATTCATCACTAAAATCTTTAAATGAGTTACACAAATTTCTCAAATTTTGTTCATACTCCTTTTCGATGCAAATAAGTTCCTGAAATATTCTACTCAGGTGTTCGCAACATTTCCTCCCTTCCTCTACGCGCCTTAATGCCTTCTGCCAATCATTGATGCTGTTAATTGGGGATAAGTAAAAATAAGAGTGTATTATGGATGTGGTTATCTACATTTGTCATTGTGGGGGGAAGACACACTGCATAAATGGGTGTACTGCCCACACACATGGTATCCCACCTACACACATCATTCACGTGGAATATGTTCACGTAGTGCAATTCTCTCATGACATGGAAAACTTACAAGGTCTTTTCGAAATTCTTCAAATTGGTTTCCCCCGGGGCATTCTTACTTTCTTCCTCCGGGCGAGCCTCCTGATTCGCATTATCCGTCATCGTGGACATTAGGAACAGGAGAGGTCCTCAAGAAGCCGTTAAAAAAAAAAAAACAGCGATGCTACGATATGCTCAGGCGTGTACAAATTTATGCGAACATTTGGGGGAGAGCACGGGGACACAAACAACTATGCGCTAACACCTTCTCGTAATAATCCCCTAACACGTTTCTCACAAAAATGTTACAAAAAGAAGATCAGAAGGAGGTAACCATAACGTACAGATTTTCTGCCGAAGTGATTACTTCTTCTGTTTCTCCTCATTCAACACTACGTGAAATGTGATACCAATGCCCAAGCTCTTAGTAGCAAACGGTGGGTCGACGGTGTGTTAGGCGTAAAAACGTGCCCTAGGATGTCCAAGCAAAATGTGTAACATATGGCCCCTTTTTTCTTCTCAACTGTGTCCTCAATAACGTTGAAGCGGAGTATATCCCCCCGAAGCAGCAGTGTGAATTTTGTGGGAATGTACTTGCTTCGCGTAGGAAGTCTTATCAAACAGGTCTGAACAAATAGGGGATCCTCAAAATGGTCTAACGCAGCAACCACCTGGGGGGTTCACGAGCACATATCTGCGAGTAGGAAGGAGCAAAGCTCAGGTTCCTTACACTCTAATCAGAAAAAAAAAAAAAAAAAAAAAAAAAAAAAAAGAGGGCAAAAAAAAAAAAAAAAAAAAAAAAAAAAAAAAAAAAAACGAGAGGAAGCTCGTTCTAATCAAACCTTTAATTGGTTACCCAGAAAAAAAAAATGACATGTAAAAATATCCTCCACATTTTCACCCTGGAGGAGCGCTTTCCTCCCTCTGCATGAAAATGTGACGTAGCGTGTTTGCTACTCAACCTAGTGGTGGAACGTTTCCGCTCATACTTTATCTTAACCCTAGTGTGGAAATAGGAGCACATGGTATAAAAGGCAGGGCGCCTTTTCCTTGTGCTACTTCGTTGGTACCACTTTGTTCCGCTTGGCTAAATCTCTCTTCTGCCAAGTTGGGGGCGCTAATCTTAGCCTAGCGGAACAGAATAAAAAGGTGCTACGCGATGGAAAAACGAAACGGCCAGGATGTTGAAACCCTTTCCAAAGGACGCGAACCGTAAATGCGGGAACCGGAAATAATGTCATTGAGAGTGTACAGTAACAAATTTTTTTCGCGCAAGAAAAAAAGGGCCACATGTTGTTGGGAAGCCACGGTTTAGGGGAAGTGGAAATTTCCCACGGTCCCCGCTATAGCAACCACAGCAATTTGTTCGCTCACCCATAGGTCGGTGGGCCATATTAGGGTGAATTTCCCGCAAGGAGTTCCCCCATATAGGACTTCTTAAGTGGGCATTTCTAGGGCGCATTAAACTATAGGGCACTTCATAACGGCATCTTTGTCAAATATATACCTAACGTCGCGGTCATATTAAAACACCCATATTTTTACCGGTTGCCCCGTTTTTTCCGCTCTGTTTCAGTGTACAAAACTTACCGCAGAAAAAACATGCATTGATTTTTTGCTCATTCCCCAGGGGTTCCTCACCCATATGAAAATTAGTTTAGTTTTTCTTTTTCATTTTGCCCTTACCCATCTTTCGCCCCCATTTTGGTTTCTTCCCTTTTTTTTTTCTTCCCCTCCTAGAGGAACAATTCGAAAAATGGTAACAAGTAAGAGAAGAATTTGATACTCCCCTAGAAAAATGATTGTTATAATGTTCCTATATTTTTGCGCGTATTATTCTCCATTACATTGATTTTTTTTTTTTTTTTTTTTTTTTAAAGAATGCTATATACGTCCAAGATTTTCACGTAATGGTAAAACTCCCCACACCATGTGAATGAATATATTTTTGATACCTTGCAAGGAACCCCTGTGAAAAAGAGGATTGACTTGGTCACTTTGAGGAAATTACCATCCTGTGCATGAGCATGTGCTGGTACCCTTTCCTGGAGTACATATAGCGTATCCGCGTATGTCATTTACGGTGTAGGTTTTTACCAGGTACTCACCGCATAGTGTAGGCTACCCTATATAAAAGTCGCCAACATACAAGAGAATTCACATTCAATCCATCACAAAAAAAAGGAGTCCCCATCTGGATAAGACGAACCGGAAGAAGCCCCCTTCCAACAAAGGCCAGTTGCAGAAGCGCTAACACAAAATTTGCAAAGTGTTTGTTTGTTAAAAAAAAAAATCCCCTCCCCCTGAGGAACAGAATGAAAAGCCCATTTGGTGCATCAGCCCAGGTATCCATCCTGGTGCTTCTCGTGCTATTCCTATACAAGACATGCAACGCAGTGTCCCTCCTAGAATCCATAAAGCACGACTTACAAATCGTGAATAATCACAACTTTAACACAGTAGTTAACAAATTTAGAAGCGAAAAAGTTTTCTCCGTTTTGTTCTTTAAAAAAACAAACAAGAATATAAAAGACGTAATAAAAAGCTACAATGATGTTGCATCCAAGTTCAAAGGCATCTTCACCCTATGTATAGCTGACTGTGATGAAAATGCCAACCTGTGTGAAAATGAATTATCCCTCTACGTCCCAGATTATAAAAGCACAAATAATCACCACGTGCTCATGTATCCAATAAACCCAATGCCCAAATTTTTATTCAATGAAGAAATGAATGAAGCTAATTTAAAAAAATACACATACCTTATTCCATCGAAAATTGACGTCATTAAAGACGAAAAGGATTTTAATGTCTTCCTTTCCAAGCATGAAAATATGCCCAAGGTCCTCGTCTTCAGCAACAAGAAGAAACCCAATTATGTACTCAATGCTCTGAGCAACAGCTTCAACAAAAAATTAATGTTCTGTTACATTAACAACGAATTGAATGACCTGGTGCAAAAGTACAATATAAAAACCTTCCCCACTATACTAATTTTGAAAAAGGGAAAATTGGTAGATACATATAAAGGGAAGCCAAATTTTATTAGTATGTTTGATTGGCTAAATGTGCACTCGGAAACATTTGTCCTTGGTGGAGGCTTCGATATATCTCCAGATAAAACAGTTGACAAACCTTGGAAGTTCGAACTGGTGCCCAAGTTCACCAAAATGTCACATGGAGATATTTGCTTTAAGAAAGCGGACAAAGGACTCTGTCTCATTTATTTGAAAGAGGGAGATAAATTAGAAAAAACAGAAATCGACATGCTCCTCTCGCTCAAGGAAAAGTTTAAGCCTCACATTGATGGAAGGTAAGTCGAGGGAAGCCTACACACATATGCATGCGTAACGTGTTAGCGCAACTATGATTCGGTTGGCCCATTGCGTTCCTTGCCTGCATTACCACACATCTAACTCTTGCACCACTTTCACCCCCCGCAGAGGAATCAACTTCAGATACATGTGGATGGACATCGCCACGGAGACCAACTTCCGCACCCTATTCGAAGTCAAGAATTATCCCTCTGCCGTCGTCTTCAACCCATACAAGCGAATTCGTTACGCACAACTGAACGAAGATTTGGTTGCTACGAAAGAAAATGTTGAAAAACTTTTGGAAAAAATATCTGGAGGAGATGCTAAATTTACCATGCTTAAGGGACAAACTTTGCCTGAGTTTGTTCAGGACGATTCGGACCCCAAGGCAAACGAAAAAGATGAGTTATAAAAAGGAACATGCGGTTTAGGCTGTGTACCAAAAAAAAAAAAAAGGTCCTCATCCCCAACAGAGTATTGCTATCCTTTTATACCTATACGTGCACACCTATATACGTAGTTGTGACGGCCACAAAAACTTTGCTTTTCTTTTCCTTAACCATCTTACCTCTTGGAAGAGGAAAAGATGTTGGAGACCTACAGGGGGAAAGAAAATTCCCTCCACATTTGCCTGATGCATTGCTTTCCTTTTTCTAAAACTTTGCAACCGCGTTTGCGACACCACGTCTTGACAACCTCTAATCCATTTCTCCACCTTTTTTTTTTTTTTTTTTTTTTTTTTTTTTTTTTTTTTACAACCCCTTAATAACATTTTTGCGTTTTTTAAAAAAAAAAAAAAAAATTTAAGAAAACATATTTGTGTTGTGCGCGAAAAAAAGAGCATGGGAAAAATATGAAGGGAAAAGCGGCCAAAATGGACAGACACAAAGAAGAAGGGGTCATGCGTTCGTAGGCATTTATTTAAAAAGAGGGGGAGTGCGACAGGGATGTGCGCACACTTCCAAGGTGGAGAGTGAAAAACCCATCAGATGAGATGAGAATTAGCGAAAATACAACAGAAAACGGGGGGGGGGGGCAAGCACAGGGAGCTGGAAAAAAGCTAGCCCCTATGCGCACGTCATTTCACACCACTGCACATAATGTGTACGCCGAAGAGCGAAATGAATCGCAACTGCAATTAAAATGGACTCCAACACTGTGCCGCTTTCCTACCGCTACTCCGCGACGTGCCCACAAATGTCCCAACACTTCACCGTCTGGTCCCACGACGTAGACAAGATCAAGTCGCCTACCCACACCATCGAGGAAACGCGGCCCTTATGATTCAACATGGAAAGAGTGGAGTGCCTTATTTTAATTTTCTTCGCATGACTGCTGGCTAAATCGCTTTCATTAAAAAGTAGGAAGGGGATGTCGAATTGGTGGGGTTTCAATCCCAATTGGCTGTCCTCTCCTCCCTTGGTAGAGTCATCATTGGATACGCTTATGCTAATTTTGTTTTTCCCCTTGAGGTTCCTACAGCTGATGCTATTCTTAGAGGTGGGTACACAATGCTGCGATGTTAGTGGTAGTTTTAACCTGCTAGATGTCCTCGCGCCTTTGACTTGTTCCTGAATGGACCCCTCCTTTGCGTTCCCTAAATAAATCTTACTCTTAACATTATGCGAGATGTCCTTCCCACTATTGACACTTCCTTTTTTAATAATGTTGAATAACTCGTTCCTGGACATGACTTGTACCCTTTTATCATGGATGCTCTGCACATTTGGAGTCAAAGTCCTTTTCCTATAGGTGTCGAGCATACTAACCCGTTCTACCTTCCCCCCTACTTTGTCGTAATTTCTATTGCTATTTTCTTTTCTAAACAAATCAGGTGATTTTCTATAATTGCACTCAGATACGATAGAACTGGATCGGTTGCTACTTTTGACCGTTTTTTTATTCAACTGTAGAAAATTCTTTCCTCCATTTCTGCTCCTTTCTGTAGCCGTTTTGGCGGTTAGGTCTCCAGGAAGGGGAGGCACAAAGGCACAACTTGCACTCTCCCCAGAAGTAGAAACTGGACAAGCTACAAAGGTACTTGACCTATTCACCCCATCTACATTCTTCTCACTCTGCCAAAGTTTTATACTACCATTATCTGATGAAGAGCAAAAGAGGTTATCATATTTTGTGGAGAAGGATAAAAAGCGAATAGGTGAAGTATGCCCAACATATATTTCCACTGGCTTGTTCTCATCAAGAAAACGTAAGTCAAATTTTTTTATTAAACAATCTGATGCTCCTGAGTACAAGGAATTCCCATCTGAGAAAATTGTATTGATAGAATATTTCGAGTGTAAGTCCCCATTTTTATGAATAGGCAAGGCTTGTCTGAAATCAAAAAATAACATGTTCCCCTTGTAGGAACTAAAAATGTGTATTTTATGTTCCTCATTACAAGTGCAATAATTTAAACAATCACCCATCTCTTCATATCTGTATACATTTTTTTTTTTATTAAAATCTATTAGACATATGGATCCTTCTTTACTTCCATATGTCATTTTATTTTCATCAAAATAATTCATGCAAAAAATAGAATTACATTGGCTAGCTAATATTTCTTTAACCTTCTTTTCTCCCATGTCGATTACGCATATATTGTCATTTTTGTTTGTCATTCCGACACACAGGTACCCTTTCGTCTCATGGTAGCTGGAACATAGTATAGGGTTAGCCAGCTTAATGTTCTTCACGTTTGTTACATTTTTTACATCCACTACATTCGCTGCTCTTTTTTTGTCACCATCTATGGACCACACGGAGACCAGACAGTCGTGCGAAATGGTTACAAACTCCTTTTCGCCCACGAGATGGATCCCCTCAATCGAGTTGTCGTGTCCTTTGAAGCTCCATAGGGGTTTTATATTGCTCACCATTCTGTTCCCATCGAAGAGCTGCTCATTGTTTTTTATTTCAAACATGTAATCATCACTCGACAGGCAGTTTCGGAAATCCATTTTGTCTTACTTCATCAGGATGGTCTTACAACCTGGACCAATTGTATGCCCAAATCAAATGAGAGTTAGATCAAGAAAAAGCAGGTCTGGGCGCTTACCCTGCGGAAGGGAGTCGACCAAAACGGCACGGGGATGTGTACAGGGTCAGTGCGCGTAGAATCCCTCAAAAAGGGGACATACCAATACACACATATGTTAACATGACCGATAGTGTAAAAGGGGGGAAGTAGTACAGTGAACAAGTTAAACCATATGGATCTCATTCAGACCATCCGTATGCACACGTGCATCCTTCTGACACACTTTGGTGGAATAAATAAGCTCCTGGAGATAACTTCTTAACATATATTTTTTCTCCACCTCTTTACAAGTTCGCGCAGTGTACAATCTACATTCCCACACCCGTCAACAACGAAGCGATGTGGACAAATTTGAAAAACTGTGCTGTCCGTTGGTGGGTATCCCCGTGCACGTTTACGCATTGGTGAAGAGAAAAAAAAAAAAAAAAAAAAACAAGGTGAATAAATGAGGGCACTTTATACACTCTGCTAGCTGTCTTAAGGGGCATC